CCAGTGTAACTTTCTTCTATTTCTCGTTATATTTGTAAAGCGTCCCGGGGGCTTCCGCTGCGCCGCTGGCCCCGCGGGCTTCTGTATACGGTAGCGAGGCGTGGCGTTGGCGTGGCGGTGGCGTTCGCGGAACTCTTTTTGCCGGTGGTGGCGCAGCCCAGCCCATCCCGCCAGGAGGGATGCTGCTGCCCGGCCGCTGCCCCCCCGGATAGCCATCAGCCAGCCTTACGTAAGGGCGCGGGGGGCGGCGGCGCAGGCACTCTGGGGGCAGCGCCCAGCGACCATGGCGGGGGCCGCGGGCCGCGGGCAGGACGCGCCCAACTTGAGAGAGCAAGCAGTACACCGGGGATGACCAGCAAGAGCGGCGGCAGTTGGGCAACATACGCAACGAGCAGCAGTGTGAGTCTGTGTGAGTGTGTGTGTGTGTGTGTGTGTGTGTGTGTGTGTGCCTTGTGTGCGCAGCTGCTTTTGCTTGTTACGCTGACCTACCCACATGGTAATATGTAATGACGTTATTTTCCCCTTTTCTTGCGATTTTTTTTCTCCTGTATAAGGCAGTGCGAAAATGTACGAAAGGAGCGGCGGCGTAAACTGCCACCGTCGTGGACATATTCCCCTAACACCCTCGTCGTGTATATTCTCCTCTGCGATTGCGTGTTTGTCTCTTTGTGGAGAATGCACACAACACGTTATACATCAAGCTGTCCCTATATCTGATCGGTCACGACTGCAGTACACACACTGCCGCCTCGCTGCTACACTTCGTGTCACGACGCTGCCTGGTGGTTGTGGTACTGCCCAGCAGTGCCCTGCTGGCCGCACGGTAAAAGCAATGTCTCATTTTTTGAGGGAAAAAGGGAAAACTTTGAGACACTCCCCTGGTATGACAAAAACTCTTCAGATTTCGAGGAAGTCTCCTCAAAAAAATGTGGGATTTTTCCTCATGTTTTTAAAAGATTCTTCAAAATCTGAAGCGAGATCGGGAGGACTCTTCCTGAAACGTGGGAGTTCCTCAAAGTGTTCCCCCTTTCCTCAAAAAATGAGACATTGTTTTTACCGTGCGAGGCTCTGCGGCGCGCGCGCGAGGGCGAGGGGTTGAGTGACGTTTTGCCTCCGCGCGCGGCAAACAAGGCCCGTCTCCTTGACCCGTCATGGAACAAGGCCTCCGCTTCGGGTTGGATAGCTTCTGTGCAAAGACGGCGGAGCAGCGGGACGGCGGGGAGGGAGGGGGAGGGGGGATGTTTGGCGGAAAGTCCCTCCCTCTCGCGAGCGAAGGAGACGGCGCTACCGTAAGGCGCTTTGGGAGCAGCAGAGAACATGTTAGGCTTAGGATTGCCACCCTCCTCCCTCTCATACCCTCCCATCGGGGCTCCACCAGAGGTTGGCGTGACTCGCTCGCCGGTGGGTCACGTGTTGTTCGTCGGGCAGCTCGGTGGGGCGTTTGGGGCAGACAGCCCGTCAGCGCTGGAGGATGGACTGGAAATAGCGGGCGCCCGCTTTAGCACGCCAGGCCAGGCCCACTGCAAAGGGTGGTGTCGTTACCTTTTAAGAATTAACTCGGGCAAAATTGGTAATGAATTCTTCAGCAAATTATTCATCTGATAGTTTCTATATCTTCCTTCTTTAGGGATCAGCCAGAAAGAAAGATTACCCTAACCAAGCTCTCATAGCGCCTGCCACGTAGGCAACATCTTGCCTGCAATGCAGGCGAGTACTGCGGGGTGGCCTACCCCGAGTCTCGCAGGCGCTGAGCTCCCGTAATTAGCCGAATTAATTTGAGAAAAACCCTCGTACGTACTATCTAGACGATCCGTGGCAAAAATGGTCGAAAAGTTTACGATAGTCGTTCTGCTCCTCGTTGAAAACCTGAACTGAACTCCCACCACCCGAACGTGCCCCGACCTTCCGACCGACTCCAACCCTGCCGAGCGCCTGGACAGTAGGCCGCACGAGCGCACAGCTGCCAACGGGTTGCCTACCCTCAGGTCACAAGGGGCCCCTTCGACTGCGACTAGTAACCAATCGGGGCTTGGTTTGGAAGAAGGCCTAGAGTTTGGCGGCTTCTTGACAGAAGCTATCAGTGGGAGTCCCTTGGAGGCAGGGGCGCCGGGAGTAAAGGGGTTATCTCTCTCTCGCACTCTCTCGCTCTTTAATTTATTGGCGGCAGCAGGAACGGTGTCGGAGCGCTGGTATCGGAGGCCACATCGCTACCGGGACCGCAAACGAGATAAAAGAGAAGGCGCCTCCTGAAGTTACAAAA